ACTCAACTTTGGGAAACAAACTACTTAGGACTGTTCTTGATGCTTCCTGACCTCTCTTATAGCCACCATAGCCTACTAACAGTTCTTCTCAGGCACCTGACTTTACTCTTAAGTTAGTAACCTCATAGTAGAGTACCAGGAGCAAACAAGACACATACAACTCTCAAAGCAAACTCTTGCTGAGAGAACAGGGCACTGCAAGCAGTGCTAACCAGGCTCTCCAGAACCCCAGCGTTTGTAAGGACTTAGACAAAATCACCAATCTAATTTTTTACTTCTTGACCTAAGTCAGCTTTTGAACCCAGGACTACAGAGGTGAAAGGTTAATGTATTAAGCTGTCTGCTCTTCAATTAATCCCTAAATCCTGGGCAGATTTACAAACTATTGGAAGATTTTAAATCTCACCTGATTTATGAGATGCCCTTTCTAAGTTCAGATTGCCTTTACAGATGGTCACCATACAGGGCAATAGGGATAATTACTATACAGATTTATTGTCAGGATGGAATTTTTAATTTCCAAAATAATGTACACCTGTCTATCCTGACACTGTGGCCAATCTGAGCATCTGAAATGTTAAACCCTGATGTCCCTTTATTTCCTTTTTGCCTTGGAAAATAAACCAGTTGTACTGTGGACAGGCTACAGGCCTGACAGAGAGAGGCACAGAAATCCTTCAGCCATGGCAGCAATGCAAATAACTTGTTGAAAATAAAGCAATACACTGTTGCATCATCAAGAGTTTCTCTCAGATAATACTGTACAAATATATCCCTTGGAAGAAGTTTATGGTCTTTTAAAGAAGATCTTGACATGGGAGAGTTGTAAGGATGTGTGCCAGAAGTTATGAGAGTAGGCAGGCTAGTCTATTTGCAAGTGGACTTTCTGCATCAATTAGAAACCTGAAGCCTCAGGTACACAGATTTTTAATTGCCTTTTAGTGCTTTAAAAATCCTCTGAGAAGCCTTGAGAAGCTCCCTGAAGCCCCCACTGCTGCGAGGCACAGCATAACTAACAGCCAGGTCCAATAGCCCAGGAAGAGCCATAGGGCCATCACCATAAACTCTGATGAAAAGTCCAGGGAAGCTCTTATTTTCCAGTGTAAGTAATCACAGAATCATGGAACTGCTTACGTTGGAAAAGACCTTTAATTAACATCATCAAGTTAACCTAGCACAGAGAAGTCCACTACTGAACCATATCCCTAAGCGTCATATTTACACATCTTTTAAATACCTCCAGGGATGGTGACTCCAACACTTCCCTGGGCAGCCTCTTCCAATGCTTGACAACCATTTTGGTAAAGAAAATTTTCCTAATGACCAATTTAAAACTCCCCTGGCACAACTGGAATTGGCTGCTAATCTATCAGCTCAGATAAAAGAAAGGCCTGGATTGTAGTCTGAAGGCTGACACCCCAGTTAGTAAAAGGAACCCAAACACTCCATGTTATCCTGTGACAAAGAGGGCCACTTGCCAATAAAAGACTCAGTCTCCAAGAGTTTTTACTGGTACAAAGCCAGTTACCTGACTGCCAGACAATGGACATGAATTGCACCCAGTGCTCATGATTCATGGTTGCTCACTAGGCTGAGCCTTCCCAGGTGTTTCGATATCAAACAGAGGTAGCAATTTTCAACGGCTTCTCACTCAAGTGGGATCAAACCGGTGATGCAGAAGGGAAGAGCCTGTGTGCAGCCCTGGCCTCTGGCTCCTCAGAGCAGCTGTGCACAGTTGCAGAGGAGACCCGTCCAAAAAGACGTCAGAAAAACTTTGCTCACGTGGCCTTTGGAGAAATCTATTGGCTCAGTTACTATTGTTGAATATGCTCAAAATATGTTCAAAAAGTGTAATGCCTGGGAAGGACTTTCATCCATCACAGTGCGAAGAACAAGGAATAATTAATTCCTTTTTTTTCTCAGCAGACGTAGTCCTTTATGAGGAAATATTGCATTATAGGTACTTGGAAGAGAGAGGGTGAGGAGCAGGAAGGAAAAATTGCCAGGATCCCAGCACCATCAATTGCTGTCAGCTCTGCTCTGGGAATAGTGTGTAGCTGTTAATTGCTGCTGCAGATTCAGCAGATGGTGGGTAAGACATTGTATTTAATGGAGCCCCTCAAAAAAGAGTGGCATCTGTTTGTTTAATTTCTTGGCAACAGAACGGCAGATTTAAAAAACAAACAAACTAAATTGGACATTTAGCTATGAATGTCCCCCTAACAGATTATAAATATTTTAAGATAAATAGGTCAAATTAAGGAAAATATCAATTGACACATTTGAGAAGTAAGCCAAACTTTTAGATATTGGCTCTTTTAAAGATTAGATTTTTCAACATACGGCAATTAAACTCTTTAAAGAGGCTTTTAAATGAAACATTGACACTATCCTTTTGACTATGAATTTGTCTGTTTGTAGAACTGTTACAAATACTAATTCAGAAACTAATCCGTTCTGCCTGTCCCTCTTTCTCTGACACACACCCTGAGATTAAAATACAATGTCCAGATCTAGACCATTTAATCATGTGCATCTCCTACATTTAAAAACAGTAACAGAAAATAAGGCAGAAAGCATCTGCAGTCCCTCTCTAACAGCTGGGATGAGCAACTCTGAGGAGCTGTTGCTGTGGCTGTTGCTGCCGTAGCTCTGGTATTAATGCAACTTCCCATGTTCCTGGAAATTCACTGCAGCAGAAATTGCCATATCAGACTGTGCCATGGATCCATCTGTAGCAGGGTATTATATTGCCTCTAACAGTGGTCAAACCTGGATGCTTTGCACAAGAATGTAAAAGCCCAGGATCTTTACTGTCTATGCAGTGCTGCACCATGAGAAGTCCTTCCTACCCACACTCAGTGAGCAGACAGCCTCCCAAAGCATGAGAGTGGATGACTGTGCATATCTTCTCCAGGTACTTTTTCTGGGAAGTCCTCTGCACCACTTGTCAGATTTTAGGCATGTTTCCTACTTTCCCTGTTTTAAAGCAGAGTTTGGATAGGATGCTTAAGCTGAGTAACGGCCCACGTGGCCTCTCTGTTTCCAGCTGCTGATACAAAAAAATGCTGCTGCTCACTTTTTCCTACCAGCTAACTCCCATCCATGTTCATTGCTGCAGGCTAGACAGAGTCTACCCATCCATGACAGAAAGTTGTTCCCTTGGACTTTTTTCCAGATCACAGCTGCTGTGAGGCTGCGCCACCTGGGCACGTGTCTGCGTGGCCATGCTGGGACCGTGTGCTGGCAGGAGCGGTGGACAGAAGCCCACAGCCCACAGCTGCTGACATTGCTGCACCACTCAAGTGTGTCCGCCCTGGCATGTTTTGCTGATGGCTGTGTGTTGGCTGAAGTTATGTTGTGTTTTTTCCAGGGGTTCATTTTGTTTCAGGCAGTAGAGATGCACATGATGTTCCCGCGACAGCAAGTCTGGGCGTAGAATTGCACAAATCTGTGTGTCCCTCAGAACAGATTTCTCAGGCAAGTGCCAGTTGACTGCCATGGCAGCTTTTCCAGGTGAAAAAGCCCAGGGTAAAGATTCAGTTTAACCTGTGTGGCTCTGTACTGCTGGTGCAGGCTGACCTTGGGCGACAAGGGGTAACTGAATTCTCCCAAAGTTTTCTTAAGCAGGGAGAGTGTGTTATACCCTCTTGCTAAGCCACTGGATCTACCTGGACACATCATCCCCTCCTCAGCCTATCCCCAGCCCTTCTCTCCTATTCCACATGCACATGAATGAGGAAATAAAAGGGAAACAGCAATGTTATAAACCAACACTTAATATTTTTACCCTGGTGATCGCATTCTTCAGGGAAACATGTATCTAAATACAGTCATAGCCTGTAGTCAACCAATATTTTTACAGCTCTTAATTAAGGATACGTCAGATATATATTTTTACCATTCAGGGCATAGCTTTGCAAACATTACAGTTGTTAAAATAAGGGAGGGTTGAGTTGTTCACATAGCATATACACCTTGATAATGTCTGGTCAGTTATGATGGAGTAAAACTCCTCCCTTAGCTTCCCTATCTGTGAATAGGGTATGGGAACATGCAGATAATAGCTATGTAGAATTTTTCTCACTCACAAAGATAAAAACAAGAACTATGCAGTCTTACTATTACGATTTCAGCATCTTATATTCTCATATCAGCAGAAGCCTAAGAGTGTTAAAATATGATAGTGCTCTTATTTCAAATGAGAGTTTTTTCTGATTAAAATTTTTATCAGGTGAATGGAAAATTAAATGTCTATAGGATAGGACATTATATAAGGTTTGTTCTTTTTTTCCTGGCTTACTCTTAATAGAAGCTATATTGAACTGCTTTTTCAAGATTTTTTATTAGAAGCTGTGCTAGGAAGACACTTCCCCATACACTGAGTTGATACTTGATTTCACAAATGAGGTCAGTACCATCTTGATCAAATAGAGCCACTCCTCCAACAAGAAAAGCATCCTGTAGTGAACCAGGACATATGGAACAGACCCAATTCTATTGAAACTAAAATAAGCATGGAAAGGTCTCAAAAGAGATAATTTAAATGCCTCTCATGGCTCTCACCACATATCACATGCCTGAGCTTTAAAAGGTTAGACTGGAAAAGTCTACTATTTTACCTACCTTGCAAAAAGAAAAAAAAAAAACAAAACCAAACACCTCTGTAACATTCTTAATTAAAAGATAAGGAAATGTTCCTCCTAAATACTCACACCTTGCACTTATCTATGGCATTTCTGCTAAGGAGCTGAAAAAAGGAGATGAGGACTGTTATCTACACTGGTTCAGCCTATGCCAGATGAGGAACATAACCCAGTTGTCCGCTGTAAAGCCTCCAACCACCCCGAGGCATCCAGCCTGGCATGCCGGGACGAGCTGCTCCGGCACTCCCAGCTCCTGCGGCAGCATAGCCTCTGCCTGTGCGTGCTGTCTGCCCTCCTGGCTATTTTCATGATTGCGGGGAAATGCTAGATACAAAAAATGCTTCCATCACCCTTTATTTTCCATCGCTCTTCCATGTAAAGAATACAGCTATTGGAATCTGGATTTCATGGTCAGCTTAGAAAATATCGGCAGTGAGTATTTAAAGACTTGGACGTGTCTGTCCCTTCATGTTGATTCTGTGGCACTGCTTTGCAGCATGACTGATTAACCTTGTGATATAAATACAGGTTCTCACAGGCAAATTCTTAGTGGAGTGCGAATGACAAAATCTCAAGTGCCAAATATAACCCGTGCATCACCACGGAGCTGGGAACAGGTAGGCAATTTTTCTGACAAACTATCTAAGATCTGCACTTTCCCAGTCAGCCTTCCTTCTGTTTTCCACTTCAGTAGACTCATCTTCTAATTTTTTCCCTGATGATGCCCTTTGCAGCACTTGTGCCTTCCCTGTGCTGGCAGCCATCCCTTTATGGAGCTCCCTGTGCTCATTCACAAAAGTCAACTGGGTAGAGAGGCCCCATTTCTTCTTTTAGGGCACAATCTTATTCTAATGTTTTTGGTGAGGCTTGTGCTTTAATCTAGAATGAGACACCATCGCTTTATAGTTTTTTTATTTTAGTTATCCTTCATTGTCCTACTGAAAGGGAAAAACAGGCCCCAAGACCTCCCATTGGTCTTGATGATGTCTCTAATATGTGGTCATTTATTGCCTCCTACCAGGTGATTCTCTCCTTTTATAGACAGGGTATTTTGATATTTCATTCTGCTCAAGGGAAGAAGACTAAACAAATAATATTACTGCATTTGGTCTACTTCCTTTTTCTTACAAGACAGTTGATTTTCTCCAAACTGAATAGAATCATTTTCAGTGCAGGTTGAAATGAATAGTGAATGTTAGCTTCTTTTTTTTGTATCGCTCTGAGATTATTTTCTCCCATGACTTCTCACTTACTTTTCTGTTTTTGAAGTGCTCCATACAGGAGAACCATAACACAGTGCAGCACAAGAGTAAAAAAACAGCATCATGTTTTTCCCCAAGGATGTCAAGGCCATGCCATAATAAAACAGGCTGCTAGGCTACGGGGCTGACCTTCTGTGCCGGTTGCACCATCAACAACTTGGAGATGTTTTCAGGCAAAAGGGATCTGCTTCCTGAAACATTAAGCCTGACCTGCACCTCAGCAGCTATAACTTTGGTGTCTGTGGCTGCAGTGGGAAGGATATAACAGGGGAACTGCAGCCAGAGGAAAAGCTGCGAGTGTCGCACGTTGTACCAGAGATCATGGCAAGTCATTAGCAACAGGCCCTGCAACAGCAGAGAAAAAACTTTTTAAAATGCTGTATAAATGTGTCTATTTTATGTGGAAGAACAATAGAAATCTAGACAGGGGATCAAAATGTGTTTGATCATATGCAGAAAAATAAAAGTAACTTCCAAGAGGATTAGTGTTTCTATACAGAGTCATTGAAATCAATATCCTCAAAGCTCTTCACCATCTCTGAAGTCCAAATCTTCAAATTGGTTTGACACACTTTGTCAGAGAGCAAAAATCCCCAGCAAACCAAAGAAACCCCAAACCGCTGAGCCCACTATTCTGAGTAGTTTGTCAGCACTTCACACAAGCACTACTGAAACGAGGTTCAGCAGACTTGAGCTTTGCAGTCTTTTTAAAAGAAATGTTTTTATTGCACTTGAAATAAAAAGGAGTTGGTATATGAAAATCAAAGTACTACACGCCTCAAAAGATAACAGAAGTTTATTACACTATAAAGGCTTTCAGCATATGTGAATGCTTATTTTATCTGAACACATTAGCATAGTTATTAGTCATTCTAAATGATTAAATTTCCCTCTCATCCACCTAATCAGCATTATAAATGAATATACTAAAGAGCAATGCACTTTGTTGATAAAGCACTGACTTGGCAGTCAGGAGACAGGGTTTGTTTCTGGGCCTGACCTACGACCCAAGTTGTCCCAGGTGGTCACTTTGCCTTGAAATGCCTCAGCATCTCAGACTGACCAGTAGTATTGACCTATCTGAACAAATACATAAATATCCAATCAATATCAATATCAATATCCAATCAATATTCATCAATATCCAATCAATATTTTTAACTGTTTCACAGTGTTTCAGTATTTATTGTTATAGGAAATCCTGTTAATGATGTTTTACGAAAAAGGGGAAACTATCAGACTGTGGATATTGATTTGCTTTGGTATGCATGGACTGACAGTAAATCACTGCATCTTAAAAGCTGCTACTGTCAAACTTGCACTAACACACCTTTTTTTTATTATTATTATTTCTAGGTGAAAAGGGCAGAGATCCCCTTTATAGTAGTGGCAGCTTCTGTGACTTAGGGCATGGTCGCCAAGCAGCTGGCTATCCATTTGTCTTCAGCAGCAACTGCTAGGAAGGAACTAACTCATAGTATGTTTGAATGGAAACCAAATAAAAATTAGTTTTGAACTGTTCAAAGTTTATTTGGTTATACTCTTGAACAAAGACCATGTTCTGCTCCTCATTCCTCTCCTTCCTACCTTTTATGCATTGTGGCCTGCTGCTTTGGCAATCTGTGGGGGCCTTGATGTGTGTGGTTGCACAAAGGTAATGTGATTGTCCTTCTCCCAGAAGTGATGGCGTGGTCTCTAGATCTGCCTGTACTCCTCAAGAAGTCCATAAGACTTGGTTGTGAACTAAATGTGAAGGAAGAAAGAGTAGTCAAGTGCCCCTCGGCTCCTTGTGTGGAGGGGCTGATGCTGGGAGCTCTGCATGCCCTTCCCAAGAGAGCAATAACTCTGCCTGCTCATCACATGTCCCCATTAGGGCAAGCCTTCACTTTTATTTTGGTTTTGCTGAGCCTCAGAAACTTGATTCTTGGTCTCTTTTGCATGTTATTTACCACTCAGGACCATGTGACTCATTTTTGTTACAGCCGAACCAAATCTGTGTTAGTACATTCAATAGCAAATGAAGTCCTTTCTGGCCTTGATATGAAGGGCTGAAAAAGAACTGTGGTAGTTTGCTTAGTAGGGTGGGGCTGGTACCATTAAATAGTTGAATTCTCCTGTGGGTCAACAGCACAGAGAATGAAAAAAATCTCACTGGATGATTGTGTAAGGATCACCTCTGATTTAGTCATATTTCCATGAAGCCTTGCTCCAGTGAAGTAATGCTCCAGGACTTCTTCAGGCATTGAACAGAGATTTGTGTTTTACTGAGATAAAGCAGGATGTCATCTGTGAAAAGAGCAATTTATGTCCTTTGTCATGAATTGTGATGCCTCAAATCTCTGGAGACTTTCTGATAGCTATTGCTAGCGGTTCAGTGGACAGAGCAATCAGAGGAGGTGACAAAGGACACACTTGCCTTCTGCCTCTCTAAGGAAAAAGTCATTCAAATAAAGGAGTCTCCGAGAGTCATTCAAACAAATGAATGCACACCCTCTGGCTTTCTGCGGGCTTAATGAACCCTATTCACCAGAAGCATAGCCTTGTTGTCAAGCCTCTGACTTCCAAGGCAGAAGGAGAATGCCAAAGTAAAGTCCATCAGATTTGTTTTTTCTGAAGGAGTGGAGAGACAATTTTCTGCCCTTGCCTGGGACTGTGGGAGCTGCACAATTCTGGGTGTGCAGCGACCTACTTGCTCTGCTGTCTCAGGCTTTGCTTTTCTTCCTGGGATTCTGCTCTGATTTCAAACAAACATTTGCTTCTCTGCTGAAAAATGGGTTTCACATTGTCCTGAGGCAATCAAGAAGAGCCTGTTTGCTTCTTCCTGTGCCTTGTGTATGAGGGCAGCAATTTTGTGCAGGAAATTATTTCAAGAGCTGGCAAGTTCCAGAAGTGTCTCAATTGTTATGTGCGTATAAAGCCATATCACACAACTGTGTTTAGTTTTGCTTGGTTGGTTGGTTGGGTTTTTTTAAGTTTACATTGCCCTCCCTAGGATAAAAGACAGGGAAGCAAAGCAGCTACTCAGCTTCAGGCACTAAGTTGCCTGCAGTGCCCTTGATATACAACCCCCTTGCCCATATGCGCAGTCATGTGCTCGTATAACTCTCCCTAACTGTGGGAAATAAAAAGGAAAATGTTAAATTTTGTAATATTTATCACAATCATTTTTCAAGAGCAAGAGAGAAACTACTGGTCTATTGATAAATGTGGCCTTTAAATAGTCAACTAGGATTATCCATTTATGTGAATAATAAAAATCTCTTAGGCAGATAGAGAAAGTAGGATAAAACTTTATAATGGAGTATATATTCTCTAGCATAGATGATGACTAAAGGCCTTGGAGTTTGAAGAAATGACAATTCATCAATGTTTTGTCTTTTTTTTTCAAGCTCTCCATTTTGGGAATTTCATGGAAATAATTGAGTTTTCTACTGTTGAACCAAGACTCTGATATATGCATGACTTAAAAGAAAGAGATTATTAAATATCTCACCATTTAATATCTAGATAATTTTGTCCTATAAAATCCTGTGCAGCGAGTAATTTAAATTGGTACCCTATTTATGGCAGACAAAACTGCTCACAACCATCTGCTTCGTGGTTTTAATAGATGAAGTGTTAACTGCATGTTGCATAAAATTCATTGCGACTAGGTTAATGAAATGGCTGTGCTTCACTTCCTGCACTCTGGTAATAAGATGACAACCTCATCTGCATTTATTAACCCTTGCCACTTTCAGTACTGTTATCACCCATTCAATCACCTTTGGTCAACAATAACGAAATAAATCACAATAACAGGAGACATAACCATATTGGCTAACAAAATAGATATTGATTAGCATCTTCTAAACCAAATATGTCAATCTGGTTTGATGTTATTTTTGCAAAGGTCATCAAGATCTGCTGGACTATTAGTAACGTGAGTAAATGATGATGCAGTAGGTTATTGGAAAACACCCCAAATCTAATCTTTGGTGCTAAACAGCCTAAATGATGGCTTCACCATGGGAAGCTAGAGAGACCTTTGAAGTCTTCAGCTTTCTCTTCTAGCAAGTAGACCTCAGATACCCTTCTGTAGCAAAGGCCCTTACAGAGGGCTGAAAGCCAAACCTCTGAGTGTCTCTCTAGTCAGAGGCATTTCTGTCCTTTCCAAAGAGGGAGCATGGGGTAAAATTGCTGCATCCATGCCTGGCCAACCCAGCATTGGGTCAAGCCTTAGTGATAGCAGATACAAAAACACTTCTTAGCTATGGCCATGGCAATACAAACTAATTGCAGGTGGGACTGGGCTGGCTCATGATAAAGAAGGACCTGACAGAAGCATCTCCACGTGCCAGTTCCTGGATACAGTCTCTTCTCCACCACTTACACTCTTCAGATATTTAGAAAAGTTGATTTTAGGCAAGTACACACAAAGCACTCTTGCTGGCTCTACTGAGATTTGCCAAGAAGGATCAATGCTGTGCATCAAAGCCATAGTTATTCATCCCCCTCTTGCCCTTCAGATATAGTCATTGAAGACTTTTTGAATTACTTCCAGTAGTTCCCACTGATCCCATAGTTGTACGCGGCTGTAGGTTTTCCTCTCTGGCTTGTCACCTGGCTACTGCTTCTGGAAACAACTCCTCTGTCATGCTCAGCCCCCTGGGTCTAAGCAGACTCCAGACACTGTCTTTGGGGGTGTTTTCATGTGATCTAGTGAGGGAAGTCATGTGGCCATCTCTGTCTATGCGTCAAAGTGTGGGATGTGATCCAGCTCTGGTTCAGAAGTTCAGCTGTGCTGAACTGGTTCAACCTGCCTTGCGTGTTATTGTGCCAGCATTGGGCTTTGCCTTCCAGCAGTGTAGATATGATTTGTTTTATAAACACAACAGGGAAGTTTTCATTTATACTGAGGGTTGTAGTTAGAAGTATGTTCATAGAATAAATCTGAATTTTTAACTGTATACAAAAGAAAAAAATATCTTTCTCAACTTACTCCACTAGTAAAGAAGCTGCCAAATTTCTCCCCTTCTGCCCCCACACCCAGCTCCCAAACTTTGT